ACATGTAGAATGGTCCCAGCATTCCCTCCTCTCGGTTTTTAACCATGGTGTTCTAGTGTATTTAAGGTAATGTTTGTGGCTTATTGTTGCCTGTTCAGGTGTACTCAGTATTAGCATTAGATTTGTTTTGGCCAGTATTGGTATCTGTACATAGCTGGAAGGTATATACCAAAATAATTACAAGATAGTTTAATTTGGCTGGATTACATCTCATTTTAATTGTTTGTGTTTTTGTTTTCCAAGTTCTCTGCATTAAGTGCACATTATTTCTACAATTAGAAAATAAATACTGTACAGCTGAATATTGGTAATGTTCTGAGAGGGCACTGAAGTTCTCACATATGTATATTTTAAACTCTAGTTATCATTCCCCGGATTGAACGCACCCTTGCCTATATCATCACAGAGCTGGATGAGAGAGAGCGAGAAGAGTTCTATAGGTTTGTTGAACTGGCACTTAACTGTTTTTTCTCCATACAGTACAGTCTCAGTTTGCTCCGTGGCTAATGTACTTATGTTCTTTTGAATAATCAGAGTTTATTTTATTCTGTTAATGAGAACAAGAAATAAATGTTGGGCATGTGGTGCTTGTTTATAATCCCCGAACTCAGAAGGCAAGACTGTAAGCTTAAGGCTAGCCTGGGCTATCTCAGAATATACACTCAGAAAATAAATCCGAAAGAAGAAATAGTAACAGCTGGTCCCTCTGCCTGCATCTTGGTTTTCCATTTCAGTTTACTGTGGTTAACAGCAGTCTAGAAATGTTAAATGGGAATTTAAAGACCTAGTATGTAGCTTTTCAACTGTATGTTCTTCCAAGTAGCATGAGCCATTGAGGTGCTGTGCTATCAGATGAGGCTTCATTTCATCTAACACACCCACCCTTACACTAGCTGCCACCAGTCACTTGGTAGCTGTCAGTTGTCATGTTTGTAGTGGTTCTTGTGTTTCCTTTAAGGAAAGAGGTGAAAGTTTTTGACTTGTTACTCCCTTAGTATATTTAATTTTTACATTAAACTTTTATAATTTTTTAATCACATTTGCCTTGTGGACAGATACAAAGCTTAGCCACTAAGTGTTGACTATGCACGAAGAGGCATACTACACAAACATGGTCTTAGCATATCCACTACAGAGTTGGATGAATATGTTTCCAAGATTGGTGTCATGCTTTGCATATAGATCAAACATGGCATCTCCAAAACTTTATGCCTTTCAGAAAGACTAGTAAGATTATTCTTTAAAACAAAAAGAGTGATTGTGTTGGGTCTCTCCTACTAAAACCTTAGATGAGAAATGAATTGAGCAAGCCACCCAATTCACTGCACATTGAGTATGTGCAGGTAATAGAGAGTACTTGGGCATTCCCAACTAGTGAATCACACCGCTAGAACTAGCACCCTATGTGCTGAGAAAAAAGGTTCGCCCACAGTTTATGAAATCTAGAGCAGTAGGAGGGGCCGTGCTCTAAGTTTGCAGAAGAGGGTGGGTGAGAAGTGTTTAGAGGAGCATGCTGGTCTTAGATCTTGAAGCAGCTCAGTGTGACATGGAATTGTAGTTATCATTCATGTTCAGGGTTATAATGACCCAAAAATTTTGAAAACAGAATGCTCAGAATCTGGCCCTTTACAAGATGGATGTCAGGTTTTATTTAATGTAGGCTAGGGTGTCTGCAATCAGATATTAAAAGATATTTTCCCTCAAACATTTTAAAATGGCAAAAATGACAGAAGATGAATGTTTCCAGTGGTCCCATGGTTATTGCCTTTTTTATTGTTTATTGAATGAAGACATTCATGTTCCTTTTCACTGAAAGAGCATTCAGAGAGTCCCCTTTCTGCAGGTTAAAGAAAATACAGGAGAAGAAAAAGATTATCAAGGAAAAATTTGAGAAGGAGTTGGAGCAGCGGAAGGCAGCTGGAGAAGTGATGGAGCCTGCCAACCTGCTGGCCGAGGAGAAGGACGAGGACCTATTGTTCGAGTAATGGCCCCTTCGCTCCCTCAGACCCAGCACCCACTCCATTTTAACTCAGTGTGTAGGTTTGGTATGTGTGGGTATTTATTTTGGCATAAGAATTCCCCTGGCTGTAAGATTAAGGAAGCCCCGTGAGACTATTTCTCCTGCATCCTAATTCAGCAACCACTTATCACAGTTGAATGAGATTTGTAAAACTTGCCCAGCAACTTACATACTTTCCTCTGTGAAAGTGTCACACGATCCTCTGTACAGTAGCTTCATTGGTTCAAACAAACATTCATGGTCTCGGCCCATGGCTGTGAGCAGCCCTCGCTCCTACCCACTTGCAAACCTTGACACTGTTGGCTGAGGTTGTGCAGCCACTGTTGTGTTACTGTGGTCTTCCCAGCTCTATGCCTATTTTTCTTTGCACGATACGTCTGTCTGTAATGGAAGCAGTTCTGCCCATTTAAATGTGACTTATGAACAGAGTAAAATGATTTAAAAACATGTTGTTTCTTTTTCTTTTTACTGAGAATAGTGATTATATCCTTGGTGCAGATCAGTGACCTTATTGCCACTCATAGTTTTTACCAAAGACCTGTAGCTAGGAGCCATTTCTTATTCCCTATCTGAGTGTGTTGCTAGGTTTATTTACTACTGCGTTTTGGGGTACTAATAAGTGACTGCCAGTGCTAAGTAGGTTTCATAATATTTCCTTCCCAATCTAAGAACAATACTAATTCCTACTTTGAACTAACTAGATAACTTTTTGCTGTTTTAGAAGCAGTAACAGTTTGTTGTCATTTATGAAGAAGAGATGACAAAGGGGGCAGACCTTTTTCAGTACTGTTTGATTTGGCATGATTGTCTGTCATTACTCAGACTTTAATGCACCAGTTCCAGGCATTCTGGGCTTACTGGACACAACATAGTTCTTAGTTACAGGGGTGACACTAGTGTTAATATGATAGCTATCACAGGGTAGACTTTTAAAGATATTAGATGATTTTGTAAACATTTAGGACTATTTGCCAGTTACAATAAATCACATCCTCAGTCCAAAAATACGTATTTTAGCTCATTCCATGGCCTAAAGATTGAGACACATGGGAGCTTGAGTAATTGCTTTTAAAATGAAAAAGCTGGAACATGATGACGACGAGTCCAGAATTTAAGCCCAAGTAGTCTAACTTCAATTATATAAAAACTGTATTTATTTATTGTGTATAGGTGTGTAGAGGTGGAGGAGCGTGTGTTTATTGTGTAGAGGTGGAGGAGCGTGTGTTTATTGTGTGTATAGGTGTGCAGAGGTGGAGGAGCGTGTGTTTATTGTGTGTATAGATGTGTGGAGGTGGAGGAGTGTGTATGCCACAGTTCAGTTTTTCCCTTTCACCATGTGGGTCCCAGGATGGAACTCAAGCTGTGGGACTTGGGGTCAGGAACCTCCATCCACTGAGCCCTCTCACTCACCCTACCTTCAGATGTTCACACTTAACTTTTTGTCGTCTTTGGTGTGTGCATGTGCATGTTTGCATGTGGAGGCCAGAGGACAAACTTAGGAGCTATTCCTTAGGACCATCTGGGTTTTTTTGTTTTTGTTTTTTTGGAAGAGTCCCACTGACTTGCCAAGTGGACTAGACTAGCAGGCTAGCAAGCCCCAGGGACTTTTGTCTGTTTCTCCATGCTGGTTTTACAAGCATCCACTACCATACTGTCTTTTTTTTTTAAACATGGGTTCCTGGTAGGGTATTGAACTCAGACACTCTTGGCAAACCTTTTAGTAATCTCCCAGCCCACATCCTTTTTATCCTTCTTATCTCTTCCGTATTTAAAATTCCATATTTAAGCCCAAGATAGTCTGTCTTGGAAGAGCTGATTTGTAGGAAACAAGGTGTGGCTCCTAAGGAGAAAATGCCAGGCTCGGAGTCAGTTCAGTAGCCAAGTAGCTGAGTAACACTGTTCTGCAATCATCTTCCCAGTATCTTGCTGAGGTGTAAACTGTACCGTTTCAGTTGTGCACATGGAGAAATCGAGCAGCTTATATAGGTAGAATGAACGTGAGTCAGAGGGAGTCTTGATTTCCGAGGCATACTCCTCGAGGACTTGGGTCTGCTTTTAGTTTGAAGAACGCCACATTTCGTGCTTTTATTTTTAAGGAAACCTATTTACTTGAAAGCACTGAACCAAAGGAATTTGGATTTCTCATATAGCGTTGGTAAAGCTCTGGTACTCACTGGGCTTGCCTCAACTGTCCGTAGATCAACAGGTGAGTTCCTCTGGAAATAGGGTCTTATTATATTCCAGGGTGGTCTGGAAATCCTGAGTGCTGGGATTGTAGACATTCGCCATCATGTTCAGCTAAAACTTCAGATGACTTTATGGCTTCACATTAAAAATCAAGATTAAATAGTGGGTAATGTTGCTGAGTTTGGCTAGGAGTGAGTTGACCCAAAGGGTAAAGGCCAGAAATAGAGAAGGAAGCTGGAGCAGGGCAGGTCGTATCTATGCAGTGAAACTTTTGTTTACGATTTGTAATCTTCGGGAGATAAACAGCAGGAGAAATGAAGTATGTGCCACCAACTCAGATACTCTCAAATCTCTGGCCTCCCCCAAGTTAGTTCTTCTCTCTGAGAGTTTTGTTTCCTCAACTCTCAGTTGGCTATTTTCAATAGTTTTGGTTTAAAGGCTAGGTCTGGTAGCACACGCCTTTAATCCCAGCACTTTGGAGGCAGAGGCAGAGGCAGGCGGATCTCTGTGAGATTGAGGCCAGCCTGGTCTACAAAGTGAGTTCCAGCACAGCCAGGACTCTGTAGAGAGACCTTGTCTCAAAAAACAAAAGTTTCTTGTTTGTTCCACCCAATAAAGAAATAGGACTGGCCATCTATGCCATGAAAGGACAACCCATGACAAATTATACTATAATTTGTATAGAGATTCCAGCAGTGTTGTTTGCAACAAACCCTGGGAAGAGGAATGGATGTATACAAACCTTGAATAGGAATAAAATAAAAAAGTATTTAGTGGCTTTTATGATTTGAAATATAGTTTTACTTTTTATTTTTACAATACAGTGTGCAGTATGACATCTCAAGAGAACAGTGGAGAAACAAGACAGTACAAAGGGAGATCAATTAATGTCAGAGTGATTACCTTCATTCAGGATAAATCCCTGGTTAATAGTTTCCACACACTCACAAAAATTACATTCAAATCATTCCTTTTCAATAATTACTCCTTAGGCCACGAGGGAAGGAAAACAATCCATACCCTAGATTTTCACAGAAACCTAATCTGGATCAGTCTAAATACTAATTTGTTCTGACCTAGGAAGACTAAAGAAATGCCAGTACTTCCTTGTTTGGATTTCCTGAGGATATGTCATCAGCTGATACATCTACTTTATTTCTGAGACAGGGTCCATGTGGCTGATATAGCTGCTGATCCTTCTGCTTCCACTTTTCAAACTCTGTGACTACAGCCATGAAGCCCCGGTGCTGGGGGTCTAGCCAGGGCTTTGTGCATGCTGGGCAATACTCTACCAACTGAGTCATGCTCCTGCCAGCCACAGGATCACTTCTGTAAGTGCCTAAGGCTTCCCATCAGAACCACAGAGGGACAGGGAATCGAATTAGTCCTAATGCTGTACAATTACATATATAATAAGGCTTTTTTTTTTAAAGTTAGCATAGCTTAACTTTTCGCTATGTTTATGGACTTTGTTGAGCATTAGTATATTCATAGTCACTAGGATTTAGAAAAGTTCAGGATAAGTATATACTATCCATCTACGGATATGAGTAAAGAGAACGATAGCATCTCACTGATCTTGAAAATCACAGTCTAAAAGCATGCACGGTGGCCTCGCACACGCCTAAGTTGAGGCTCTGCCTGTGAAGGTCCTGTGTTTGAGCTGAGAGCATACAACCCCACTGTCACCAGTGGCACTGGCATTACTTACAGCTTTACTCAAATCCAAAGATCCTTTTTTTCTTTCCTCCCCCTCCCACTTGTTTCACGTAGCTCAGGCCAGCCTTCTCTACCTAGCTCATCCTGCCGAGGTTACAGGTGTGCACCAAGTCTCTGTCAGTCAGAATTCTCAGTGTGCAGATCACAACGCTCTACTGACCATGGAGTGCCTCTCATTCCTGAGGAGAGAGGAAAACTGAAAAGATTTCTTTTAAGTGCTAAGTAAATTGACCTTCAGTGCTGACGAGGGTGTAGACTTGGCTTTTTCCTCCTGTAAACTGGGAGTGTTCAGACTCAAGGCTGTGTAATAGCATTCCTTCCCTCAACCCAAGAACATTCCTTTATTCCAAAGGAAAATTATTTTAAAAAATATTTCTAAGTAGACACACTTGCCAGCCAACTACAAAAGCCATGCAAAAATTGAACATAATAAGACATCACAAACTCTAATTTGTTCCATAAGATTATCTAGAAGAGAGATGAGACACATGAAGGGCACTGACAAGACATCAACAACAACTGCTTGTGCAAAGTGAGTTCAGTATCATTCCAGTGTTTAGCTGTAGGAACATGAAATGCTGTAGCTACACAAATGAAGACATTCACATTGTCACACATCACACTGTCCTTAAAGGCTTGAGAAGACTACAAGTTAACTTTCCATTTGGATTTGCAGACACTGCACTTTAAAGCTGTAGTTGTAGAAACAGTACAAGAATCCTATTTAAGATTTTTTTAAATCAACATTTGAGATGTAGCAAGCTATTGTATTTCGGTCACAAGGTAGACCTTGTTAGGACAAACCTTGACTGTATTTGCTTAAATAGACTTTCCTCCAGTGTCCTTTTCTAAAATTCTCAGTGACTTTAAGTCTTCCTTCTGATCTCTAAGTTAGTTGTCATGGTGTTCCCTCAGTGTATATGTGCATAAAATTATATCCCGATGCCGAAGACAGCTATTTATTAATCTATTAAATATCAGCATACAGTACAGCAGATTTCCAGTTTGATACATACATAGCACAGTCAGACAAAATTCTGTACTCTGATATAAAAATGCAGAAACTGTCAAATGTGTTATTATCTTTCCATGGAAATAAAAAACTATTTCCATCACGAGGGAGAAACCTCAATGGTCAACACAGTTTATACGAACTCTCGTATCAGAAAAAGGAATCAAGGCTATCAAATCACCACAATTTACTAAAAGAATTTAGAAAATTCTATCTTTAAAAATGTCAGCATCTTTTCTATACTTTTAACTGCACTAGAGATTGCTGGGTGTGCACTCTCATCCACGAAGTCCAAACTAAAAAGTTGGTTTTTCTTTTCTTTATTTTTTTTTTTTTTTTTTGTTTTTTTTTTTTTTTTTTTGAGGCAGGGCTTCTTTGTGTAGCCCTGGTTGTCCTGGAACTCACTCTGTAGACTAGTCTCGAATTTAGAGACACTCCTCGGCCTCCCGAGTGCTGGGATCAAAAGGCATGTCCTGCCATGCCCAGTAAAGTTGGCATTTCTGATGGAATGTTTTTTTCAGAATGAAAAGACGTACAAATAAATTTAAACTTAAAAAGTCGCTCCAAACTAAAGCGGCACCTTTTTTTTTCCTTTTTAAGAGAAATATTTCTGATGATGAAATCAGTCGTTTAAGAAAATACTGTTATTCCCATGCACAGAAGCACAGCTCCTTCTCCCAGTAATTCCACAGTCATTTAAGTTAAGTGTTAAATAATGTTAATATTTATAACTCTGTGAGGCATGGAGTATTATTTTGTATATACATACCAATTTCTTCATGGACATCTGACTGAGAGGCAAAGATTCAGGACGGTGAAAACAAAAGGTTTCACCAGGATAAATCAGAAATGCTCTGAAGAAATCTCCAAACAAGCCAAGGGTCCCTAAAGCCATGCACAGGAGATGAGAGTGTTGTGTACAAACTGCATAAGGGACCTTTTTCCTAGTGTAAGAGATCTACAGAGAGGCCAGCTGCTTACTCTGCCTCCTTCTACCTTATTCTCAGCACTGAGGCCATCTTCCTGTTGGTGGTTTGCCAAATGAAGTTCAACATGGTGACGCAGAATCAAAGAGCTGTCTCCTTCACCTTAGCCAAGTGGATGGCACCCACTGAGGTTCAGTGTCTAGTTTGTTAATGAGCCTAAGCAACTCCTGGTAGGCTTTGTCAAGATCTGAGTTCACGATTGCAGTGTCAAAGTAGTGGCCATTGTTTTGTTCCATCTCTCTAGTCTTCTCAATGATCTCCCTTAGCTCTTCAGGCTGCAAAAGAAAAATAAAAACTGAGGTCACACACAATACAGCATGACTGAGGAGTGTCCCTACATGGTTTTCTTCTGTAGACCCCAGAGTTCCTTTCCAATCTTCTCTTGGGCCACCTTCGCATCAGTATCTTCATAATTGCTGTTTGAAGAACATGGGTGATTACTCTGAATTCCCAAAAAACTTTCATTTTCAAACACTGGGGGCTGGAAAGATGGCTCAGCAGTTAAAAGTGCTACTTGTTCTTGCAGAGGACCCAGTTTCGGTTCCCAACACTCACACGACAGTTCATAACTATCGGTAACTGTTGCCCTCTTCTGACCTCCTAGGGGACTTTAGGCCTGTGATACAGACGTGAGTGCAGGCAAAACACCCATACACACAAACATAAACAAATATTTAAAAAATAATAGTAATGTCTTGTATAATATGAGGTCCCACTTTCTGATTAGAGTAAGTGCCTCTAACATACACTTGACAGGAGCATTTGCTTCTGCTGGGCCTGGTGGCACACACCTTTGAACTCAGCACTCACGAGGCAGAGGCAGGTAAGTTCCAAACCACCCAGGGCTACATACTGAGACCCTGTCTTGATTACACTAACAAATGTGCTTTATGTGTGTGGCAATCTCTTACTAAGACAATCCTTGTATCAGCCCAAGATTTAATAACAGCTGGGGGAGATACTCTACTTAATATACTTTAAAACTCTGTATAAAAGATTTTTTCCTTTCTGTTTAAAACAGGTTCTGGTTATGTATCCTCAGGCTGGCCTTGAACTCTTGGCCTTCCTACTTCTAGTGAGGGATAGCAAGTATATACCACCACACTGGGCTCTCCTAAGAACAGTTTTTTTTTTTTTTTATTTTTCCCCCCCCCCCCCCCCCCATGCAGTTTTTCTCTATACGGCTCTGGTAGTCCTGGAAATCCCTACGTAAACCAGGCAGGTATGGAGCTCATAGAGATCCGCCTACCTTTGCCTCCGGAGTGCTGGGATTAAAGGTATGTCCTACAAAGGACAGTTTAAGATGCAAAGGAATATCCCACTAGAGTTTGGGAAACAACATAAGACAAGCTACTTTAAAATCCCGAGTAAAGGAAATGATATTTAACGGAGACAAGCCAGTGGCAAAGCTATAAGTAAAAATTATCCAGAACCTTACAATAAATCAGGCTCACGGTCAAGAAATGGAAACTACCCAAACTGCACAAGATGGCTAATTAAACTTCAGACCAAATGGTGAAGTCACACATCACTGTATTAGGCCCAATGACTTCCACTCAGGAGCAACAGGAAAACACAGTAAAAGCATGGCAACTCTCGCATAAGCTGTCTGATTTCCATTTTGGAATGCTGTGACTGGGTACCCAAGATGCTTTGTTCAACAGTATTATCAATTATCCAAACAGTGTACATTTTTATAAAACCTGTCTACTCAAAACTTGGATAGGTTGTTAACAAACTAAAGCATTACTTCATCTTTTATATCATCTACTACCTTATAACTGAATTTCTTGTTCAAATTATAATCCATGACTCAGATAAAATGTTTTACCTAAAAATTTTATGAGCTGAAAAAAAATGAACCTCTCATCAAAACCTATCATCCATCACTTCATACCATCTACTCTCAAGTCCCCTTCAATTCAGGACAGACTCCACAACTGAGATTACAAGACGTTCACTGATGATTTACATTTGGTACTGAGTAAGTAACACTAAGATTTGTGTTTACCCACTAGTTGTATCATGTACTGTAAGGCTGGTCTGCATTGTGTCAAGCCACCAAGGGCTACAGGGGGACCCATCATACATTCTTACTGTCCATGCACACTTGTAAACACCCTCTGTACTTGCTGGCTAGAGGGTGTTGTGTATGGTTGCCTTTTTATTCCACTTGCATTGATATGTTTGCGTGCTGTCTTCAAGACAGGGTCCCCCTCTGACCTTGATAGCCATCATGGAACACATGCACCCACCTACACAAATGCACACACACACACACGCACAGTAAAAATAATGCTGAAGGGAAACAAACCAACCCAACTTTTAAAGAATGACAAGGCTTGAGGCCGTCACAGAAGCATATGCTCACATGCCCACATGGGAAGATTCTCATTCATCAGGAAAATGTACAATCATATACATGGACTCCATCAACACATTCAGCAGCGACAGAAAATAATTCAAAACTTTTTTCCCCTTTCTGTTCCAGATCATGTTCAAAAATGAAAGGAAAAAAAAAAAACACCAAAGCAAAGTTCAGATAAAAAAAAAATTCTGGAACCCTGAAAATGTGGACGATTGCCAAGGATTTGCTGAGACCTTTGGAGTGGGGGGGAGGCAGCAGTATGAACACCTTGGACACGTCAGACCTTGATGGAGATTAGAGGAGACTTAAGGAATTCCAGAGGTCCTCATAGATCTGGGGTTGGCAGCAGGGGTTGAGGGGGTGAGCAGCGGCTGATTTGGAGAGCTGCCATGGTTCAGCCAGCTGCAGCTGTGGCAGTTTTGGGGCAAGCGAGACAGAACAATCGGCTTCAGAGGTGATGCTGACACAGTTTCTCAGCTCCGGGAGAGTAGGTGCGAGAGGGCTCTTGCTTGACGTCAGTGGAATGATAGAGCACTGTGACAAGCTTACCTTTGGGTTCTTGCCCTCTTTGGCTAACAATGCCCGAAGTCTTTCTTGTGAAGGTGGCGCAATGAAGATGATATAAGGTTTCAAATCTGAATTCCGGAGGGTCTTCAAAGACTGTAAAGATATTTTTTAAAATAACTCCTATCATCGAATTATTTCTCAATAATATATATTGTTAAGATGTCTATAATGTTTCTAAGCATTTCATCATAACGTCATTCCCTATAAAAGTATATAAATATAAATTCACATATGTTATTCTACTGTTCTATTTACTGAAACAGGGGTAAAAGATATTGAAGGTATTACAACTGTATGATAATAAATTATGTGGATTATAATAACCACATTAAAAATCATTTTTGAGGAATTAGAATCCAGGAAGTTGCCTTTCTAGGTGAAGATACTAAAAAGCAAAACCAGAGAAAAACTTCTGGCCCCCATGCCAAGCACACCTACCCCGAAGCAGGATTGTATGCAGTGAGACTCAGGACTCACCCTTTCTAGTGCTGCATCACCGTGCACACTTAAGCTGAATTATGGTAACAGGCAGGATTGTAGACATGCCCTTTCTCATGTGAAGAGACACTAATATGCTAAACTATTTGAGATCTTATTTGTTAATGTTTGTTAATCCAAATAAAGAAGTTCAAAAGAAATTAAAAAGTTTCCTTAAATAAAATGCTTATGATTGGAAATAGCACAAACCCAATGTCTCTGCCCTCTAAAAATCCAAACCCAAAACAAGCAAAAAACAAATTATTATTTTAGGAAGTCATTCAAGAGTCAACGTCTATCTATGTACATCCACCTAATGTGCACTGATTTTTTTTTCTTTGTTTTTAGAGACAGAATTTCACTGTATACTAGCCCTAACTGTCCCGGAACTTGCTTTGTAGGCCAGGCTGGCCTCGAACTCAGAGAAATCTGCCTGCCTCTGCCTCCGTCTCCTGACTGCTGGGATTAAAGGCATGTGCCACCATGCCCGGCTTGCCCACTGATTTTATGGCTTGAGTTGATAGCAGCAACAGACTCAGCTACATTAATTAAAGTTCTATGTTAAAGCTGAATCATTTGTAAAAAGCAAATCATTTCCATAGCAAACACAATCCTTAAAACCCCAAATTTCTAAAGGTAATGTTTAAAATAGAAATCTAAGAAACATTGCCTAGTAATTTTAAGTTTGGAATACTCTGTCAAATAGGTGAATCTAAGGTTTTATTACTCAGAAAACTCTGAGTCTTGACTGTGATACTTGTGGGCTGTTGAAATAATGGACTTTAAAACTAAGAATAACCCTTGAATTTTCTAATTTTTGTCAGACCAAAAAAGGTAGCTCTAGAGACTTAATGTATTGTCAGTACCTATTTTAAGGTTCTCATACACACACACACACACAGACACACACACAGACACACACACAAAATGCGCGCTTGTGTTGAAAGTGAAAGAGCTGAGTTAGCTACATATTTGCTTTAGAGAATGAGTGGAAAATTGTATGAAAACTGAAACAATCTGTCATTCTTGGACCCAAATAGATTTTTTTTTTTTTTTTGGTTTATTGAGAAGAGTTTTTCTGTAGCTTTGGGACCTGTCCTGGAACTCACTTTGTAGACTAGAGTAGCCTCGAACTCAGAGATCCACCTGTCTCTGCCTCCCAAGTACTGGGATTAAAGGCATGCGCTACAACCGCCCAGCCCAAATACAGGTTTTACTAGATTACTTTACAAAATGCCCTCCAAGTTCAACACTCTAAAAGAATGTTCTAGTTTTACCTGTGTTCGAAGACTTAAGAGACATATTTTGCCAGAGTTAATTACTTGTCGTACAGAATCTATGCTGGTTCCATACAAATTTTTCTCAAATTCACCATGTTCAATGAACTTGCCAGCTGCTATATCTGCTTCAAACACTTGCCGAGAAACAAAGTGGTAGTCTCTACCAGCTACTTCGTGGTCTCGCCTGTTCCGAGTTGTATCTAAGCAAACAAAACCAGAGAAAAACAATAAACACAAGGGGCTGGAGGGATGGATCGGAGGGAGGAACAGGTCCTAACAAGACTCCTATCAGGTGGCCTACAGCCCTAGGATACAAGCCAAGCCTCTTCTGCTCTCAGCAGGCAAGTGCACTAACTGTACATACCTCCCCCAACATACAGATAAATAAAATAAATCTTTAATAATAATTATTAACAAATATGGATCAGTGCGGAGAAGGATGAAGCCAGGAAGAATTTTCACTTTATAACGCAGATTATGAAATAAGGAGATGTTTAGGGCCTGTGTGCTTAGCACTGTTCCTATGGAGGCACGAAAAAGTATTTGCATTGTCTTCATAGTTAACCTTAGCTGCCGTGATCCATTTTGTTTACACTGTAAAGCACTGCAAAGTCACCTTTCCTTAAAGTTTATTTTCATTAAGAGTAGGCACTGTGGGCTGAGGAGATGGCTCAGTGGTTAAGAGCATTGAACTCAGAGGTCCTGAGATCAACTCCCAGTAACTGTATGGTGATGAGATCTGTAATGAAATCTGGTGCCCCCTTCTGGATGTAGGCAAATATATAACAGAACATTGTGTACATAATAAATAAATCTTAAAAAAATAAAAAGAGAAGGTACTATGTAATCTTAAATTTGTTTTCAGAAATTAGGTCTAAATTTCTATCTTCAACAAGAGTCTAAAGAGTCAGGAACTGGGTTTCCTAGCAATTGGCAAGGGGTCTAAACTAAACTTGATTTAGAAAATCCCCTAGTGCCACACACTTAGGAGCATTTTAATTCCTCAAGAACTATCTTCAGTAAAAATTTGCCAACAGGTTTGGTTGAGCAAATTTCCTCTTTCATTGGCAATACTATTTCAATAAAATGAACATTTTTCCCTAGGTAGTTAAGATTCTGAGAAAAGCACAGGAAAATAGGAATGTGTCCAAACTTACGAGGAACTGCAGATGCAAAGCGGTCTTTTTCTTTGTTCATGAGTCTCTGACGCAGTTCATTCTGGCCACAGTTCTGTGGACCAATCAATATGATAGGTCTTTTTCTATTTGCTGGCTGATGGTAAAGTGACATTTCCTCGTATGTTAAGATCTCTTCATTGTCATAATCTTTGGGAAAGAAAGAATTAAGGATTTCAGAAAGAATTAATGCCATGTCATAGATATACCTTCTTACATAAAATCACTAAGTTTTGTCGGTGGTGTTATGTGTTTGTTTTTGAGGTAGGAGCTAGCTCTGTAGCCCAGGCTAGCTTCAAACTTGTGCTCCTGCTGCCTCAGCTTCCCAGGTGCTGGGAAGACAGGTGTTGAGGTGTCTAAGTAACCCTGTCTAATTTGAAGTAACTAGTTTGCAGTGCCTGCTGTAACAGAGGAGACTGCTAGCGGATAAGCTCATGGTAGAATGTGTTGTTTTCATAAAGACGTCCCTTTATCGGGTTATTTTTAGGATCAGATATAATGACAGAATGCATGGATAAATGTCTGCATACAGTGACCACAACCAGTATGTCTGAGAATGCTAGAAGGCTTTCCTGTAGGTACAAGTTAAAAATAAACCATACTAGGGGCTGGAGAGATGGCTCAGAGGTTAAAGAGCATTGCCTGCTCTTTCAAAGGTCCTGAGTTCAATTCCCAGCAACTACATCGTGGCTCACAACCATCTGTAATGGGGTCGTGTGCCTGCTTCTGGCCTGCAGGCATATACACAGACAGAATATTGTATACATAATAAATAAATATTTAAAAAAATAAAAATAAACCATACTTGTACTATTTATTCTTTAACTCAGAACCATGACTCAAAAGACAAACTATAAGGAGTAAAGTAACATTCCTAAAGCTAGCAAGTCAGAACAAAGGCGAGCATTAACAGCCTGTGTCAAGAAAGGGCACTGGAAGTTCCACGAGGGAGGGAGCTTTTTGAGACTTACTAGTGTCCAGCATAGAGTTGGATGGAGCTCAGACTACATTTGTTTAATTTTTAACTCAACTGTTTAATTAGTTGCAACAATTTAAGCAGAAATTTTAATATTTGAACTAGAATGTCTTAGTCTGCAACCTCAAGGAATTTACTGTGGAGACAAAAGCACAACATTTATGACCATGGAGCACAGCAGCTGCTTTCAGTAGTAATCACAATTGCTTCTTTTCTCAGCCATTTTCTTTCTCCTGAGCTTCTTCTAACGTGGCATTCTAATTTCCAGACTTACTCATATCAACATCTGGGGGCTTCGGATTTGCAAGGTTCCTACAGTATAGAAACTCTCAGAGCTGTACTTGGTCAATCTGAGTCAGTTTTAAAAAATAAAATAAAAGGTGCTGAGATGTGGCTCAGCAGTGGAACACCTGCCTTGAATGCATGAGGTCCTAGATTCAATTCTCTGCAGAGAGAAAGATCGGGAGTGGAGGTAGAAAGGAAAAGAAATAAAGCAAGCAGGGTTCATCCCACTTAGATCTGCAATCTACTAGCAAAGATATTCACCAGTTTTAGCCTGTGGAATTAAAAACTTATTGAATCTTCTTAGTTACATAAAGTACCAAGCATAAAGGATGCTTGCTTTAGAAAGCAATTATTAAAGCTGATTGAATTTTAGATTCAGCATCATATAGAATATCTAATAATCTAGCTGGATGATGGCCCATGTCTTAAATCCCAGCACCTAGGAGGCAGAGGCAGGTGGATCTCTGTGAGTTCATGATCAGCCTGGTCTACAGAGAGTTCCAGGACAGTCAGGGCTATTACAGAGAGAAACTATCTCAAAAAACAAACAAACAAACAAACAAACAAACAAGAATATCTAACAATCCTAAATTTTATTTCAGTAATTTAATTTATGCTTCACATTCTTGAGAAATAAGCCTTGCATATTTTTAAAGTAGTGCTTCTGACTTATTATCTTGCTTTTCTAATGTGGACCAATGCAGGGCTAAGGAATTTAAATGCAATGAAGACCATTCAAAAGGTATCAGGTCCAGAATACTAGAAAATAAGAAAAATGACAAGTAGCAATGTTGGCTGACCCAGATTATCGGTGCCACCATCAGGGCCACAGCTGCCAGTCAGGGTGGCAGATGCTGTCCTGGCAACATAAACCCAGTGTGGCCAGAGTTCTGGATTTTGAGAAATGTTGTGACTTTAAAACTTCTGATCCTAGCAATCTGTCAAGATAAGAGAAGCATTCCTGTGTGCTGGCCTTACCCACTAAGGAGGGTGGTCTTCTAGAATGAGTTGACTTTGTGACTTAAGATATTGTACACAAACTTCATATTTTATTTTACTTTTTTTGAAAAAAAATTCTTAGAAACAAGTAATAATTTTGCAAATACCTTAAATAGAAAAAAATCCCAAACCTTGCAGGAAAAGCGGACTATTATAGACGTTATAAATGCAACTCCTGCTATACTCCTTACAGGAAACAACTATTACAGATGTTATAGATACAACACCTGCTATACTTGAGATTAGAGCTTACCATCATTTTTATTGGCGTTATATAAAACTTTTTTCCTCTTCTTTTTATTCTTCTTTGCACACCACAGTTTTCCTGTTGATTAATCAAAAATAGTTATACAGTATTTATGTCCTTAAACAATGCTATTTCATACTGATCTAAGATACAACATGTACATGACAGAACTATTTTGTCATTTTCTATTAACTACACACTGTAGGCAGATGTCTAATGTTTTCATTTTTTCCTACAACTAAAGATAATGAATTTTGCCTCTTTTCTTACTCCCTCAATGCATACACCTTTCTCTACTGAAAATTCTAGTGTGTATATTCAGCATGGCTGCAGATGAAAACCCAGGACTCTGGTATCTAACCTGACTTTTCGGGCTCCTTATCCTCTTCTATGGTTTGCTTCATGGCTTCTCGTTGCTGCTGGAAGCTTTTCCCTGAGTAACAAAGAGAAATAACAGGAAAACAGTTGAGATAAAAGGATAAAAAATGTTTTTAATCGAAGAAAAAAAACACTAGAAGTAATTTTTCACACTGTCTTACTAACCCTTCTGCCAACACAAGAATAATTCCAGCTAAGCTATATAGCCTACAAATGCCCTTTTTAACAAAAAGGTTGATTTTTAATTATGTGTATGTGTGGTGTGTGCAATGTAGATACTGGGAACCAAATTTGGGTCATTTGAAAGAGCAGTATGCACTCAATTGCTAAATCACCTCTAGTCTGCAAATGTTGAAATTTTGACCCAGATTATCAATCTCATCATATGTATTATTTATCATTTTCTAGTTCCAAGACCCCAGTCAACATACATATTCATTGGCATTTATATTTCTCCTTCTGTTTTCACGTATGTATATGTGATAATAATTTAATTTCTACCTTTGTTACAAATGTTACAAATAAGTAGAAAACACTTTTTTTCTCAATGGATTAATGCAAGAGGTTTTCAAGGTGACTAACCTTCATCTCAGATCTCTGCCTTCAAATAAATTAGGGGAGGAGATGTTACGGATTATGGTTGCATGCTTCAGCACAGTTAAGTACATGTTCTACCACTGGGCTGTGCCCTCAGTCCTTCAAATGCTTTCAATCTTGTCTCTTACCTGGAACGAGTCCAGCTAGAGGCTGATTGTCTTCGTCCCCCTCTCTATAGGCCTGCCACCAGTTTGGATCTTCTTGACTGATCACATGAAGTATATCTCCTTTTTGAAAAGACAGACCTAACTCTCGGCATGGAACATAAGGGTCATCCGAGGGATCATAATCAAAATGAGCTTTTACATGGATCTGAAATATTAAAAGGGTAAAAATAAGACCAAGAATACATACAATGGTAAAACAAAATATCCAGCACAATGGAGCTTATGTGTTACAGCAGTACAGAGAAATGAACTAAAATTTAGGTAAGTAATTTTAAGTAATGAGTTTTACTTTAGGGTAGATTTGCTTAAGCCCATCTGTTGACATCTCTGTAAACTACAAGGTAGAAGGATGTTCAAACTGGGTTACTGTTAACAGCTAACAAAGGTGCATCAAGGGCAAGGGAAGCAGAATAGAAACAGCTTGACCTGTGAAAACAGTGATCCTCAGTAAGGTATGCAGCTTCTAAACCACTTGAGAACAGGTAGGTCCTTCTGTAAGTGTCCCATGTGAGTGTCATAGCCAGTGGACTTCATGAACAGTGTAACTGTGCCTTACTTGCTCAGTGTTTCTTTTAAAAGTGCATGTAACTAGCATGTTCCACACACTAAACTATCTAAATCAGGATGATCAACTGAGAAAATATCCTTACCATATTTTATTCAAATCTATGTAATCCATTTATAAAAAATAAAATACAAAGGAACTAGTGTCTCCAGAAATGAGGACAATGTTGATGCTGGGCGTGGGGTGGACGGCAAGGTGAATAGTGGCTAAAGGGGCTATAAAGTGGGGATTTTAGATGCTGATGACATTATGGCTCTCTAATTGGGTATTGTTTGGAAATATAGTAAAGGTTCTGTGTCCAATTTGCAAGTGGCGTTCTGTTTATCTAAGAGGGTTCCCTAGAGAACCTTCTATTCTTTTTTGTTAAATATTTATTTTATTTATTTATTATGTATACAACATTCTGTCTGTGTGTATGCCTGCAGGCCGGAAGAGGGCACCAGACCTCTTTACAGATGGTTGTGAGCCACCATGTGGTTGCCGGGAATTGAACTCAGGACCTTTGGAAGAGCAGGCAATGCTCCTAACCACTGAGCCATCTCTCCAGCCCCAGAACCTTCTATTCTTGATATGAAAACAGACATTTAATGTAATTCATATGCTACACAGTTTAGGGTTTCAGTAAATGCAGAGGCAGGCCAACCATAAATATTGGTAGACTATTTTAACTTTCCTGCACTCAATACTGACGAGGGATTATTCCTGTTCTCTCCCTATTCCCCAATAGCACATCTAAGGTACCACTGATAAATTTCTGTTTTTATGGATTTACCTGTTTTTGGATATTGTATACAAATGAACCTTTTGATCGGCATAAGTTTTTCAAGCTCCTCTTTGTTGTAGCATATACTTACACTTTAGTCTTTTTATCAAAAAATATCTCAGTGTACAGACAGATAAAGTATACTTTATGATGATTTAAA